AGCGGAGACATTTTAGTCTTTTTAGGCAGTACCTTGATGAGAGTAGCTAAGTACTGGTGCGGAAGTCTTGGAATTGAGTCTTTATGAATGAACACTTCATCCTTCAGACGCTGACATTGAGGATAATTGTATTTCTCTTACTAGAAAGGCAGGAAAAAGAGAAGTTCTGGAGCTTGAGTCTGATTTGAAATTGTTTCTGTGTAATTAATAAATTATTATGGAATGCCAAATAAAATATCTTTGTACAGGTTTGATTCCCTGACCTGTACCAAATCTAGCATGTGGACAAAAGCATAGGCAGGAAAACCTGTGACTGGTGACTTATTTTCCTGTGAGATTTGGGAAGGAAGGCACATTTGTTACCCAATTTCCTGTCAGTATCTTTAAGTCTTTCTATCTTTATTATCTTTTTAGATTTGAATTGTATGCAGTGATGCCATTAACTAAGTGGTTATAACATGACATCTCAGACGTACACTGAGATAAAGCCTAATACATCTTCCTCACCAACTGGAAGTGGTGTTATGTTTCTAAGATGTCAACAGCATTGTTCAGTCGATCCATGTCACAGAAGTCCAACAGAAGAGAAATGAAAGTAATCAGAGCTGTACTTCCTATTAAAATGTAATAAACCCCATCAAAATGAATCGTTTTCCCCCATCTTTCTGCATTTCTCCTCTTTTTTTCTCTTTCCTTCTTTCTCAGTTCTTTTTGCACTTCATCTTTTTAATTTCTTTCTCCCATTTCAGCAGTAGCCTCTGACAAGTCAGACTTCACTGAATGCAGGTGAAACATATGTATGTGATGGCTTAGGTCTCTCTGCTACTGATGCTGGTAGTTGAGTGGCTGAGGATGAGAACAAATTATGTATTAACACTGCAATTATAGGAATTATGTGGCTTACTGTCTAAGTACCATTCTGCATCATGGTAATTATCATGATACTAAATAGCTGAGTGTCATCATTGAAGGAACACAAGTCATTACCAGAGTCTACATATGATAACTCTTAAACATAATTGCTATGTAATCTTTAGGTGATTGAATTATCATGCAGACCCATGTGCATGCTGCCAGCACAGCTCTGCATAAAAAAAGCTGCTTAATCAAAGATTACTGCTGTTTCTTTTTTTAATTGAATGATGTTCAAAACATGGCAATTCCTGGCCAGGTCTGGGGAAACTGCATTTACTGAGCTTTCTAAAGTATGTGATAGGAATGTTCTTCAGTGAATGATTTGAAGAATATGTATGCATAACTGCAGCAATGGCATAGGTACAAAAATAATATATGCTCACCTTTTCATAGGCAGCATGTTGTGAATCCACAGACGCACAAGTCACGTCATTGTCCTGATCAGCAATGGATCAGATGCAGGACTATTAAAGTAACTTTTGCAGATGTTACAAAGAGGTATCAGCTGGCCTGAGGGTAAAGATGATATACCTCATACAGGGCTTCTAGAACCATCAGGAAGTAAATTTAACAAATGATTATGGAAGAAAGTCTTCCATTGTATAAGGAATAGTATTTTTACTACGTATATTTGTTATGAAGGTTGCTAAGCTGCAGTGTTCAATTTTGTTTCATTTGTAGCATTTGTTCAAGGCAGTCATATGTAGAGTCAAAAGAGCATAATCTGTATAGCAAATTTGCTTTACATAGAAGTATGAATTTTGTGATAACAGAGAGACTAGCATGTGGATACTTTTTCTATAAACAGATTTCATGCTTTTCTAAATGTTGTTTTCAAAAAGTACTTACAAAAATCTCGAGGCATTCCCTGCCTTTCTTGACATCTTGTAAGGCAAGCAAAAAAATAGGTTGATGTAATCTCTCTTACAATACTTTTCTAACCATTTTCTTTGTTTCTTCAAAACAAATTCCAGAAGTAATGTATTTACTTGAGTCATGAGAATATACAAGAGAACTTCACCTCTGAAATCACATAGTGTTGCTTCTGAATACAGACTGAGAGTATGAACCAGGGTGGCCTCATTTCTGAGAGCAACATCTGCGTCTGTGCCTGAGAAAACGTTTGCTCCTTGCATGCTGATGACTTTTTAATGGATTTCTTGCACTGCAAATACAACATGCCATTCTGATATTTAATTTTGAGCTGATTTGACTTCCTGGAATTTGTCATTCAGAAGAATCGATCAGGCTGAGAGGCTTGGTTCAACTTAGAGCTTATGATGGAAATGTGTATTGTAAAGTGTATTTTATAAACAAAAGTGGTATTTCTAGCATGTATTGTTACATTCTTATATATGAGAGATATATCCTAATAAATATGGGATATTGCAGTCAATTTATAGTGCTTATGTTTTATGTACCGAATAGAATTTCTTCACCATTTAGTTGGCATAAATAGTAAGGGGGGCAATGTTTATCATCTCATCAAAAGCCTTTGCAAGTTTAGGAAGATTTGGAATAGGTTCAAGTTATATGGTTGGATCTCTTTCATTGAAGAATTCAACTGCTAGCAACAAATCTGTCACCATTTGGTCTGAGTGTCTTAGTTTGTTATCTAATCAGAAGCAGAGATGAACAGAGACTGCATGAGTATTGTGCAAATAACATCTCTGTCTACAATGTCTTCTTTCTAATGGCAGTAAGAGTCTAGAACTGGTGCTTCTAAAGTTATGCAAGGAACGGGAGGTATACATGGCACAGGTTATTACTAGCCTAGTAATTAAGGGTGAGAAAATAGAAGAGTTGACATAAGGTTCTATATCATTTGAAGAAGTGATTGGAAAATTCTTCCCTTATACCTCTTTCCACAGGCATGGAAATGGGTCATTGTGATCCATGAAAAAGTCTATGCATTGTGATCCATGAAAAAGTCTATGCATTTTAAAAAAATTACATAAATCTTGGCCACTAGGAAGATTCTTTAAATCTCTCAGTGACTGTTACCCATCTGTTTGGTGACAATCTGCTGCTACTGATTCTCTTGTGTTAAAAAAATAGTGTGACACAGAAATCCATTGCATATGCCTATTAATCTTTTAGAAAGGGAGAGGGACATCTTATGGAGACATGAGGAAACTTTCATTATAGATCCTGTGTCCTCATTCTCCTAGAACTCCTTGACTTCCACAGGAAGAATTTTATGGAGTCTTTGGGTGCTGTGAGTAGAGAATGAAAGTTTATTTCTAGGACTTTTTTCTGATCTAACTTGGAAAGATAAGCAGAGTGATGAGACTTCTCAGGTTTAACACAGATTTGACATGGTTAATGCTCCTTCTGTTAATACTACTGGCCTTTGTAACTGAGCCAGTGTGTGAGTATGAGTACAGCATAGCTTGTCTTAGATGCGGATCTCAGCTAGACTCTGAAATACATACACTTGATGCTGCTTTGCAGGAAATATTGCTTATCTGTAAAACTCTTTAGCTAAAAAAGCAGCAGCATTGTGAAGGTAAAATCACAAGCTGTGATGATCCATGCAGCCCTGAGATACATAAATTTATCTTTAGTATAAGTTAGGTAGACCTGTCAGTCAACAACTGTCCACTGTCATGGTTCCCCCGTATCAGTCTTAAGAACTGTTAACAGAGTTTCTGCAAGGTAGCAAAGTCACCAACTTCTGCATTTTGTAATAATCCCTGAGAGTCAGTGGTTTGTGTCAAGTGAGGATAATGACTTTATTGTGATTATACATACAGATCTATTGGAGATGTACAGATGACAAATGGTTATGTCAATCAGAAACAGATATCACATACTACATCAGCATGCAGAGACTCATAGTGTCAGCAAAACAAATGACCTGGAAGTGGTAGAGGACTATTTATTATAGTAGTGCTTTGTGGGGAACGTCCTGAATGATGGAAGCATAATGTGTTGGTCTTTATATCTGAAAACTTGTTATGCTCAGTGATGTAAGGGTATATGAATAGGCATCATGAATCAACATGACTGTGAGCCTCCGTCTCAATTGGGTGTGTTTTAGTTAATGAATACAAGATGGGTTGTGGATTTTTTTGACTTAACAATGAAATAGATATCATTTATGAAAGGCTGGTTGTGGTTTTATATACTTTTATCTAGAAAATAAATGTTAAACATCATGAAGCTTGATCAAATGGTCTTCTTTGACATTCAAAGAGCTCTTTTATCATTGTGAAAAATATTTCTGGAAATTATGGAATGTGAAAACAGCAGCCTGTACAGATGCTGTACATAGGCAGTTCTTTGATAGCAGTTAAGGTCCCAACAGTATTAAACATTGACTCAGCAGACAGTTCTGGTGGTTCTTAAATTCTCACGGCAGAGATGGATGTACAAGTTTGGTAGGGCTATTCTCTGAATCAGGGTGTAAAATACTGTTTCAGGGGTTAGTTGAAAGGAAGCATTTTCTAAATATGTGTTTGACGTATGTTGGAAGAACAAAGAACAAAACCAGACCTTGGAACAAAAATTAGCCCAAATGACAGATTTTTTCTTTTGTTTTTCTCAAAATTACTTAAGGCCATAGCTAACGTGAGATTTCCGTATAAAACTGAACTAAACAAGGTTTATGCCTATGGTTCACATATAGCTTGAGGAATCTTTCAGAATTGCTAGGCAATTTCTTTGGGCTCAAGTTTTACTGCTTGCAATCTTCACAGATGCCTAGACTGGATTTTAAAGAGGTATCACATGAATTATTAATGACTGCTCAGAAGTTTGTCAGTCTTTTTTAACTATAATTGGGAAAGTTTGTATGGCAGCAACTGTATTTGAGAGAAACCAGAAGATGTTGAGTACAGCTGTAGTCTTTATCCTCCTGAATCTGCTTTTTTTTAATATGCTATGGATTAAATTTATGTCCTGCTTGGTTCCTACTTTTTATAGTATTAAATTATAGCCAAGAGAAAATATATTTACAATGCATACCACACTTGAATGTTTTTTATTCTCTCCAGGTGTAATCTACATACGGCATGTCTGATTTTCCTGTGGCCATGGGAATATAGTCACTCATCAACAATGTTGTTTCCTTTTTCCTTTAGGGGCTGATGTTATCAATTTTGATGGCCATGTAGTGTTACCATACAGATTCAGGAACAAGAAAATGAAAACACTGAAAGATGTCATCTCTCTGAAATTTAAAACCTCTGAAAGCGAAGGTGTAATCTTCCACGGAGAAGGACAGCAAGGAGACTATATCACCTTGGAACTGAAGAAAGCCAAGCTTGTTCTAAATTTAAATTTAGGTATGCTTTGGTTGTTTAGCTTTGGGTACTTTTTAACTCTCCCACAACAAATTTATGTTAAATATTGCATCCTTTTTTCCCCCCAGTGATATGGTAAACCACATCATTTAAGTAGGTAATTTGATGACAATGATGCTCACTCCCGTTGTATATGATTTTTTTGATTGTTCTATTCCTTCCTTTTTACTGTGAAAATAAGATTATACAGAAAAACAGGATCAGCAATATATTGTAGTTAGAAACTTGCAGCAAACAAAAAAGCTGAGCTAGAATTACATTTGGCCTCAGCTGTGGCTTTGTGTGAGAGAAGGATGCTATCCTCAGTGCTAGAGAAACAAAGGTCACCTTTAGGAACCTTCGGCAAAAAAAGTATCAGTCTGGGCAAAATCAGATCACATGGAGTTGAGGTTCAGCAGCCTTCCTAGAATATGAGGAGGACTAAGAAGGAAGACAAACCGGTTTGTCAGGCAATCGTACAATGAAATCCTGTATACATTAGTTCCAGCACCTTTTTCCCTCCCAGTGAAAGACTACATGCTCATGAGTGACTGTAGTTATAAAGTACATTTATTGTACATTTATATGAAGAAACGCACATTTATCTGGTTTCAGTTTGGTTTGGGCTTTTTTTTTAACTTAAAAAAAGATACTTTTAGAAAAAGGTTCCATGAAGCTTTCCTTTGTTCTCTTACAGACTGTGAAGAGTAAACTATTCTGTTCGTTATTTACATTGAATAGTAATTACTTCCACTAGCATTTTCTCCTTTTCTTTTTCGAAAGATCAACGTGAGCAGATGATGACGAGGAAATCATACCTTCCTATAGCATTTAGCTATTTTTGCAGTACTAACCGATTCATTTCCAGTTTCTCTATAATCTTCAGTTTGTCTATATAAGCTATTACAACTTACATATATGTGCTTGTTGGGGATGACCCTAAATCATGGCAGATAAATCAGAATGGGCCCTGTGTCACACACTCAATAGACAAAAGTAATGGTTTGTGGTGTTAATTTTCCTCTTCCTGAGGGTATATTGTGTTTGCACCAGTCAGTGGACAGAGGTGTTCATTTTGCCTGGTGAAATCCAGAGGCACAGTTTTAAACACGGGGGATGGAGGCAGAGGAGAAATGGGGAGGCAGGGTTGGATTTAGGTTTCGCTTTGCCCTGGGTTTGGCTTTGAATTGAAGAATTTAAGGCTTATGCATGGCTTGATTTCTTCATGTAGTTTTTAACCAACAACTGCTGAAGGGTCAGTGGCCTTCAGCAAAAAGGCAGTGTGGTCATTTTGTAGGGGAGTAATGGCTTAGGCCATGGAAGCATGATTTGCCAGAATGTGTTAGCAACATGCACAAATCTTAATGTCTGAGTTGCAGGCATGCTTGATGGCAAGAAATTCTCAGCTCCAGAAATGCCTTAGGTCGTCATGTATTCAGAACATGGAAGATTGTACTGAGTTATTGGGCAATGCAGCAATTTTTTCTTAACTTACTGCTGTATTAGTCATTTGCTGCTTCAGCTGAGATGCATGCTCTCACTCTTTGCTGGCTTAGCTATGTCAGTCAGATTGCAAAGAGGCGTGATCTCTCACTTGCATAGCTGCACTGGCAAAAGCCCCTGGAAAACACAGCAGAGAAATCCAGAATTGTATTCTTGCCAGTAGTCCGATTTCCAGAATAGGAAGGTTGCTGCAGGAGGAAAGGCTGAAATAAGCTATGTTAGCAGAAAAGAGTTTTTGCTACTGTTAGCTCAGTCTGCACTAAGCCTTTTCCTATACACTCACTTGGTGTAGCTATACTAGCAGGGCCTACAAAGTGTAGAACTTAAGCTGAAAAGGCTGTTACCAAAGTCTGTTATCAGGCACCCTGTCCTTCTCAAAAGTCATAGATCAGTACAGTTCCGGGGTATCTGAGTATCTGGCCCAGAGGTGACAGCTTTTCACTGCTGTAGTGTAGGGGTGAAAATGCAGAAATCCCCTAGAATTCCCTAGATGAAAACATCTTTGTGACTGAAAAGTTGGTACTGCTTCTCTGGTTCACCTCCATGTAACTACTGTTACAGGTAACTGTTTATACAGCTCACTGATCAAATACCTCTTGTGTTTGGTTTAGCTGTTTGTATTTATGGCAGCAGCTCTCCACTGGACAGATCTCAGCTTCATAGTGGACTGACTTTCTCCAGCTTATTATGTGTCTGATATGATTCAGGTGAAATACTGACAGAACAAGAGGAAGATGTTTGGTTGACTGGTATGAGGTGAGAATTGCTGTTGTTTCTGTTCTCATGTTAGGCAGCAACCAGCTTGGCTCTATTTATGGCCACACGTCCGTGATGACAGGCAGCCTCCTGGATGATCACCACTGGCACTCCATCATCATAGAGCGCCATGGGAGAAACATCAATCTCACCCTTGACAGACACATGCAGCACTTCAGAACCAATGGAGAATTTGATTACTTGGACCTGGATTATGAGGTAGACATTGAAACTTGTTTGTTTTCATTCAACTGGCTTTATAAGGATTAGTCCAATAAGAAAAGAAAATTAATGTAATTTAAAATGTTTTGGGACCTTTTTTGTATATTTATTTTTATTATTTTTCCCTAACATTTCCTGAAATATTCTTTTCACCTCTGTTCTCTTTTAAGTATAAATGAAGTTTCTCTTCATTAGCCTACCAGATTCCATCTGGTGGAAAAGTCATCTCAGTCTTTTGTTTTAAAATGAGAGATCTATGTTACTCAGCAAGCTTAGCTGTAAAAGCAGCTGCTATAAGTGGGAACTAAATTAAAGAAACATCATACAATCTGCTGTTGCATTCAGGTGATAGCTTTTCATTGGAATCAAAAAAACCTCATTCTGTGGTGACAATCAGTATTTTTATTTAGCAAAGCAAGAGGGTGAGAACCTTTTTACTAATATGGATCTTGATCTTTCCTAGGTAGGTACTTCCTTTTCACAAATATACCATCAGTAACTTCTTTAAATAAAGAAGCAGTAAAGAGTGATGCAAGTCCTATGAAAACTTCTGTTTAATCAGTCAGATTAATGCACACAAGTGTTGGTAGAAATTAGACGTGGATTTGGTGTTTGATTACACACTGCTTCTGCTTTGTGAACTTGTTTGGTTCCTCTAAATTGTTATTCAAACTTCAGCATGTTGGCATTACATACTTCGTATAATGATTTTCTTTACTGTTTCTAATGAACCAAATACATGTATTTCTGTCCTTGCAACTTTTTAAACAGTGAGAGGGCATCAACATTGACTTACATATTGATAGTTTCATGATCTTTTGATCAAGAATATAATGTGAATGTTTAAAAAAAAAAGTATTATAAATGAATCATTTTACTTATATCCCATCAAATCTTTATGAATGCCTTCTTTGGTAGCATTAGAATGAGAAAATAATGAGCAAATTTGCCTGTACTTCTGTTACATACTGAGCACTGAAGATCTGAATTGGGCTTCCAAAAACTTACATAAATAGATTTTATTACGGATTTTCAAGGAGTGAACTACAGAAAAATTAGGCTGAATATTACAAGCCAGGGTTGGGCAATTTAAATATATAGATACTGCCATATATATACACACACATGCACACACATACAAATATATATGTGTGTATGTGTATACACACACATGTATGTAGCATGTTTGCATGATTAATACACTGCATACAGTATATTTACACCTAGTGAGAGTAGGATCCAGGAGAATCACCTTCCTGTCTTCTCTGACATTAGAGGCCTCACTAGCAGTTCTGAAAGACACATTTCAGTCTCTTACGTTTAATGGAACTTACTTGAATGGGTATGGATACGTGTTTCTATGGTTCATCCAAATGCAGGAGCCTTAACCTGTTCTCATTCCTTTCCTCTCAATTATCTCACTTGTTTTGGAGTTACTTACCACAGATGACATTTCAGTGTGTTGCCCTTGTGGTAAAATAATCATGGTGGATAAATCTGAAAGAGTAAAAATAATTTTTCATTAAAAAAAGCTTCCAGGTTGCATTCAGAAATGTTAAGTAATCGCAAAAAAGGAATAAACATCAGTTCTGATTGCATTTCAAGATCAGAAAAGAAAATCCTCATGAGTCCTTAATGTCATGGTTTGTGGGTTTTACAGTTTCAATCCTTTCCTTCAAAATGCTTACCTTTCCATTTTGTCCTGTCCAAATATATGACTACAACATACAAAAAGATTAACATTAATGGTTTAACAGCCATTAAAATGTTACAGTCATTCTCCAGTTCATGTAAAGTGCTGTGTCTTCTCTAAAGTCAAGTCATTTCCCTTTGTAATACCTGAGGATGCGTGCAGCAAAATGCTTTCACATGGCAGGTGTATGCTGTTCATGAAGGTTCAGGTTTTCAGCTGTAGCTTTAGCTCTTCTTATATGCCAAGTCAAAACCTCCTCTTTGGGATAGAAAGTGATATCTTAATGCTTTTAAAGTGGAAAATGTGTCCCTAGAGCTGCGTTTTCCTGCTCTCAGTAATAACAAATGGAATTAACAATGAATAATATTTAAAAGCTTGGCTCTGCCAAACCTCAGGAGGAGATTATAAGTAGACATTTTTGTGAGCATCTCTGGGACAGGAAGACTAGGTGTCATTGCTATTTATGCCATCATCTATTGGACATAGTTATCTAACATAGATTGCAGGGATTAATTTCATGAGTCCCTTATTCTTCTCATTTGGGCTGCAAAACATTAATGAAAACACATAGTGTTTATTCACTTCCAAACATCTCAGAAAAGACCCTAATGTGGTAGAGACTTGTGTAGTCTCTATGGAGTGACAGGGAGAGACTTCATGAGATGAACATTTTTAGTTAGCAAACCACTTGGTTTTCTCCATTCTTTAGCAGTAGCGATTCTGGATAACCCAGTGTTTTAGGGTAATGAAATTCAGCATTAAGAGAAAAACAGTCCCTGTTTGACTGTGATTGCTGAGTCTTCGCATTGGTTGTCTTCATCTCCATGGAGCTCATTCGGCCTACTAAAGTTATGTGGTAACTTCTCATTCACTATAACTACATCATAAAAGCATGTTCTCAGTAGTGGAAAGTGCTTCTGTCTAACACAGAATAGCATTTTTAACTATATGATTCTGTAAAATGCAGCTGGATGAAGTAGATATATAAGCTTTAAAGGAAACAAATGGTATTGGAGCCCACTGCTGCTGTGTTGTAGTCTGAGCTCTGGCACACAGTTAGAACTGAGTGAATGATTTGAATCAGATTATCCAGCTAATTCCTTGTTTACTCTTGTCCAGAATAATACTGGAATGGACATTTATTCTAAGTTCTTTGTTTCAAATGCATGTTGTTCAGTAGCAATCAGAAGGTCAGTTGATATATGAAAAACTGTGATGTCTCTTTGGACAATTGTAATAATAATTGGGATTTACTACCATAAACGTTTGCAATCAGAAATTCATTACAGCTATTTTTCCTGCTTTTACAGTGCTTATTTGTTACTTCCCTTTTCTGCAAGCAGTGCTGCTAGCTCTCTCATTCACTGTGTTTGAGTGTTCAAAGAAAGAAAATACATCTACAGCAAATTTGTGTAAAAGTCTTTGCCCTCCAGTAACTATCTGCCATTTTCTGTTTCATTTAAAGATAACCTTTGGAGGCATGCCATTTTCCGGGAAGCCAAGTTCTAACAGTAGGAAAAATTTCAAAGGCTGCATGGAGAGCATCAACTACAATGGCAATAATATCACTGACCTTGCCAAAAGGAAGAAATTGGAACCTTCTAATGTGGTAAGAGCATAATTTAATGGTCATCTACAATTCTGCTTCTCCATCAAAGGAGACTGGAAGGTTTGTGAGTTGTGTAGCTGGTATCCTTCTGGTATACTGGAATGATACAGAACACAAACCACATTTTATCACATACCCAAGGATCTTACTGTATGTACATTTGTGACTTCTTTTTTATTATGATGCCTGAACACTTTATTTCTGGGGTCCCATTTCATCCTTCCAAAGTTAACTTTCAGTATCAGATAATTAGTTTTTGAAAGAAAATAAGCCGAACCAGTAAGTACTTCTTCCCTCCCAGATTATAGTAGTCCAAAACCAACACAGACAAGCTTTATTACTAAATCAATTGCAGCTTTCTTGTGGCTTTAAACTCTGGTATCTTCCATCCCTGCAGAGCTAGTTGGATTGCTGTAGTGCAGAAATCGTTCTCCAGGCCTTTCTGGTAACTGAAAAGCCTCAATACATTAGACTTGAAAATCATTATTTAGCTTATTAACATTACAGAGCTTATTAGCATTTTATTCTATCTTTTTCTCTTGCTTAAGCATTCATAGTTGCTTTCATGTTCAAACTTGTGACTTTATGGGCAGAGCGATTAAGAAAGAATGTACTTTAATTACTGTATTTTTAAGGCTCTAAATGTTCCTAAAATTGCTTGCCTGCGCACAAAGGCAATGTGGGTAAGAAATGAATGTATTATTGCCATGAATTTTGAGACAGTCTGAATAAGTTGTTCAGGACTTTCTCCTATATAAGTTTACAGCATTCACAAACTGCTGCTAACAATATGTATGGTTCCATTATTGCTTTTCTCTTTATGTAGTAAAGAGTAAAGATCTACATATGCGGCAATGATGAAGTGCAAAGAATTGATTATTACTTGCTTACTCCTTGATTAGTAATACTGAAGCATTACTATACATATTGTAATACTGAATAATTACTATGTATATTAATACTGAAGTATTACTATACATACTCTTACATATGAACAATATGGCTAGGTGGTCAAGGTAACACGAAGGATAATTCTGAGTATGTGGTGTTTGCCTGTACAAACTCAGAATATAGCCTGGCAGTTAGAACTTTTTCTGTACACTAATTTCTCCAGTGTTCTCACAGGCAAAGAGCATGGTACATGTGCCATGGAGGAAGACTCCACTTCTAGAACTTTTTGCGCCAGTTGCATGAACTCCAGAATCTTTGGCTTAACTTTTTTTTTCCCCAAATTGCCTATGATTTCCTGTCTGCAGTGCATTTTAAGCTTGTAAAGTAACCAAGATTTTCAAGCATCTTTGTACAGAAACAATCTTTCCATATCACACAGTCGAGTCCACTGCAAGTTGGTAGAACATATTCTTTAAACCTCTTTCTGAGCAGAAGTGTTTTTTAAGAGGTTTCTGTAGTTCAGTTCCTATCCTTTCACAGGTGTGACATAGCTAGCAGGACTGAAAATTCTATGCCAGATAATCTCTGGTTTTTATTTGCTTGTTTCTATATTTGTTTTGTTTTTAAAGTTGTTACCTGTAACATGAATGTAAACTCCACATAAGAAGCTTCAGTAGCGTTAGTGCTACATCAGGAGGCTATGGCATGCTAGCTTAATTTGATGGTGCTGTTGATTTCCAGTTCTAAAAATGGCTATAAAAATAGAAGTGAGCTTTGTTTTCAGTAGACTTACTTAAATTGCTTCAGCTCTTCAAAAGCAAAATCAATTTTAATCTAACTAAATCAACATGGATTTTTATGTTTCTTACTAAAGGTTTTTTTTTTTTCTCCCAGTTTTCAGTCCAATTTACCATGAAAAATAGACTCGATTGAGAGCATTGTTGTTGTTAGTCATGTTTATGATGATGGCACTTAAGCAATCCAGCAAAGTTCAAAGCTCCATTATAGCAGATCCTGTACAAACACAACAGTAGGTATACCCTGTCCTAAATGGTGTATTATATGAAGAGGCAAACCAGACAAATGTAATGGTGTGGAACGCAGGCAGAGTAATCAGTATGGTGATAAGAAGTATCATAAGGTGGAGAAAAAACAGAGGGAAGAAGGATGTTAAAGAGATGTGTGGCAGAAGAAAAACTATTCTTAGATACAGGCAGTTGAATTTCAGAAATCACATAGTGAAAGGGACTTGACAAGTTAATTTTACAGAATGAGGAGGCCCAGAGAATCAAAGATGATAATAAGATGATAATCTTGATTTTTTTAGGTCTCATATACATAGGTATATGAGCAAAAAAAGCACCACCAGCTGTCTCTTTACTGAAGAGTAAGGATGTAAAGACAATTTAAAGTACTTTAAACTTAAAGAAAGTCCATCACTGACTTTAATAGTGTATTTCTTTTAGAGGGTAAAATTAAGGCGGAAAAATCTGCAATCCTTTGTAACTGATAAGATGGCAACAGCTTACTGGGGTGAATGAGTCAGATGAATGGTCATAAGCAGTTATTGTTCTTATTAGTGGAGCCTGATTTGTTTTCATAGAAGATAAATGACACAAATTATAAAGATGCTCAAAAGGGAGAGTCAGGGAGAAAAGAACAGCCAAGACAGAGAATAGGAGGGTCTACTTTTCTTCTGAACCAAGCTGCAAACAAGAGTTGGCAGTGACTAGCACAGTAGGTGCTCACTGTTGTATACAGCTTGACTCAGGACTAAGACAGAAACAGGAAATGTGCTTCTAAACAATCTTCCAGTCTATCTTTTCTGTATTTTCTACTAAAATATAACGAGCCTTGTGGGAATTTCATTATCTTGCATAACTGAAGAATATTGACCCTTACACCACTAGTGAGAAGAGGCTAGAATATGCAGCTAACAAGAAGTAGCCCAGACAAATTAGAGTTTAAGAACCTAGTCACTTTATCAAACCCATCCAGAGGTATATTAAGAGCAAGCAGTGTGAATACTGATTTGATTTAGTTTCTACAGAGCAGACTACATTTTTAAAGCCTGTAACTGAAAACTGGTGGAGAGAATCGTATTTGCTACCCCTCATCTTTACGTCCACTAGGTCTATGCTCCACCCAGTTCTGCAGCTCCTGTGCCCTGTATTACTAAGTTCAGTCATATACAAACTTAAGATGACTCTTTTCATTAAATTATTTATATTGAGTGAACATTGTGTTAAGCTTAAAGGTGAATAATAAGGTATTTTGAGAAAAGTACTGAAATAACATGATAAACATTAGCATACATTGCCTGTAAGGTATGAACCTTATTTAACAGTTATTGCAGTCTTAACAAACTCATTATTTCTCATTTGGGAGCAATGTATTCAGCCAGTAGCTCTATTAATTGGGAAAGGATTTAAGACCCGGTAGTAGTTCCACAAGGGGTAATATCTGATTGTGGGTAAGCAAAATTGGTTTATAAGAAGTAAACATGAAGCTAATTTTCAATACAGATTAAAGATCATTATACAAAACTCACGAGACCCAAATTAAGGTCTTTTTACCATTTCCCTTCCAATGTAGTATGAAAAATTCTCTGTTAAAACCAGTAGTTTCAATATAAATGCACAGTATATTTTTGACTATGAGATGTCATTGCCCAGGGAACTATTCAGCAAGAAATTTTGAATCTATAGAAAAGGATCTGTTTCTTTTTGAAAAATGGGGATGTCTTTATAGAGACAAGCTGCAGATTAGTTCTAACTCTTGACATTGAACTAGTGAGCAAATGGGCTGTATTTCACAGTCAAGGAGGGAATTGATAATCCCGTTCAGATTAATGAGTAGCTCAGTAGGGAAAATACTAACTAGAAAAGAAATTAGAATTATATCTTAACTTCCTCAAGAAATCTTTTGTGTGGTTAGGCTGGTGATGGTGTGAAAAAGGATTTGAATACATTTAGTGCCATTAACATTTATAGGTGTTATGCATGCAAGTATCCAAAGCATCTGGATGACAGGAGACGGCCATTTAGATATGAAAGCCGCCTTGTTACGAGGAAATTGTTAGTTCCTCTCGGTGACAAGGCAGAAAAAGAAGCTCTTAAAAATGTCTAATAAAATGCTTTCTGAGCATTACTTAATTGGAATCTAACTGAACTGTGAGATGTCAGCTCTTATGAATTGCTGTTGCCTTCTGCGTCTCCACAGGACTGTGTAGCAGAAGTCGTGACTGTAGTTGTGACTGTAGAATGTTAACAAAGGGTTGCAGAGGGTATTTTATCACTCTTCAGCTTATTTTTTTTCTGTATTTAAAATCTGTGGTTTAAGCGAAAATATTCTGTAGCACTTGGAAATATTGAGACTAAAACTTGACAAAAAAATGAGTTAACTGTTTGGATTTAATGGTTAGTTGGCTGAAAACTACAATCTCTAGGCAATTTTTAAACAAAAAACCCCACTCAGAATAGCCAAGCACCTTTGCAACAAAGGGGTTAGGTGGAGGTCTTTTGCCTTTTCTGAGGCAATAGTTGTACTTTTGCTCATCACACTGTAATTTAAAAGTTTCCAATACTTGTTTTAGCTGATTATTTTCCTAAATTCTTGGCTGTTTTCTATTACCCATGAAACACAGGTGTATGAAAAGTACGTGGTTTGTAATGCTGAGGTTTTATGATAAAGATAAGAGTGAATCCTTTAGATCAGTATGAAGAAATCTCTAGTTCCCTATTATTGCAAACATCAGTGTTTCTTAACTGATGCTGGAGGCTGCAAGCTGGTAATCTAGTTGATACTAGTTCTGCTGGCCTTTATGCGTAAGCTATTTTAAAACCTTGCAATCAATAAAGTTGACTGGATTTTTGTCAGTGTCCCAAAGAGTAAAATTTTAGTGTGAAAACTGCAGTTTCTTTTACAGAGAAAATAACTGAGTTACTACAGACATCAGGCATTGATCATGATCGTGTACTCCAAATCCTTTTATTTAATGAAATGAAGTATTAGCTTATCTAGTATTATCTAGTAGAAAACACAACAGAGGCTGCCTCTTCATGAGGTATGTCCTTTCACAACTTCATGTACTGTATTGATTGGCACATTGATATAATGGTATTTAGAAAGCTTTATTTCATTTTTGTAAAAGGAGGAATTACTGCTCTGTTGTAGGCATCTTTGGTGGCCACAAACAAGCTGGAGTTTCTCTGTGATTAATTTCTGCATCTTTGAATTTGGATTTTTACTGCTTTTACCTAATCTTTATCTTATACTTTAAATGTGTAGGGCAAAGACTGCCTCTTGTTGTGTACTTGTTCAGAACAAAACATGGGGGGGGGGGGGGATTTTTAGGCAAAACAGAAACATCAGCAACAACGCTGTAATAGCAACAATAATAATAGTAATAGCACATTTTTACATGCAACTTTCATCAATCACAGTAGTCAAGGCTTCATAAAACCTAGAATACTTTTCTAGAGGTAGCTATGAATGTAGTGGAGTGAATTTTGCTTATGTTTTTGCTTCTTTTCTTGTGTTTTACTTAGGGAAATTTAAGTTTTTCTTGTGTGGAGCCACATACAGTGCCTGTCTTTTTCAATGCAACCAGTTACCTTGAGGTTCCTGGTCGTCCAAGCCAGGACCTGTTTTCAGTCAGTTTCCTTTTCCGAACCTGGAACCCCAATGGACTTCTTGTCTTCAGCAACTTTGCAGATGACCTGGGGAACGTTGAAATCGACATAAATGAGGGCAAAGTCAGCGTCCATATCAATGTCACCCAAGTGAAGAAGAACCGAATAGACATCTCATCAGGTAAGTGTTGTTTTATTTTAATTGGTATCCTTTTTCTTGATATTAAAAGCATCGTTGACCTAAAATTGGAACAGTTGTTTTACCAGACTTTAACTACATTAAATCCTGTTTCATTGAGTAAGAGGTAGAAGAATATTGAAACAGTTGCTAGATTAAACAAAGACACAGATATTCTGTTGTGAAACCCAGACAAGGTATTGCCCTGTATCTCTGAGGCACCATTGCTGCTATTTTCCTTCCTTCCATCTGTCTTGCAGTCTTCTCTGCAGAAGTGTTTGGTTTCAAAGGAGGAGGGTATTTCCATGTTGAGAGTAGCCTAATAATTAGGCTGTTCCTGTTACATCCTAATAATTAGGAAGCTCTCATTAAAGAGGAAAAAGAAAAAAACAAAACCCAAACCCCAACCATGTTTTTTTTAACCACAAGGCTGGCATGAAAAGTACTGTGACATTCTCTAAGTGTGCTTTAGAGTCATGCTACTGGAGTACCAGATCTTTTAGCACCTAAGTAGGTTTTGGAATACTGGGTATAAGGTGCAGGGTTAGGTTTGTTGCTGGAAGAAAGGGTGTGTGTTAGTGTCAGTTGATTGTCTTTTGATATTACTTGATACTTTTATATTGATAAATTATACTTTCAGTCTAAATTCCTTATAAGCATTTCTGGATTAGCCATAGTTACATCATGTCAGTCGACGCTTTTCAAAACAGTTATAACCTAATCATGGTTGGAAGATACAGGGTTTCTTGCAAATGGGTCTAGATCCACATAAAAATCCCCAATCCAGTGATTATTTCAAATAGCAGTTATGGCAACCTAATTTCTCAGCCTGTTTTTGCCTGAAGTCATCTGTGGTTACTATTTTCTCTTAATTTCATAGTGGAGTCTTCAGTTTTCAAGAGGATTGATCTACTGGTCTAGCTCTGAATGAATGACAGAGGGTTTATGACTACTTACTTGTTTGATTTCTATTTGAAAATACATTGCCTACATAGTCATATAAACAGGAATTTGAAGAAATGTAAGAAAAAATAAGAAATGCCTTTTTTTAATGAGAAAACATGTATTATGTAGGAAAGTAACATTTCATTTGGCACGTGGACATTTTTTAGTTTTCTCTTTTCGCCCTGTTAATGAAATAGGGTGAAATGAAAATAAGGGAATAGGCATGAAATTAAAATAGTTATTTTAACCATAGAACTGAGTAAAATATGAGTAACAACTAAAAATCAGAGTTTGCCTGTTTCGTAAAATTTAAATCTTTTTATGAGAAATATGTACCTCCTTCCATCATTACATTTCGTTTTAGCATAAGAAGACAACACCATAGATTGCAACTTAGCATTTCATTGCCTCTTATATAAATACTGTCATAAAAGATTGAAGTAATGTATTGGTACTACAGGAGGATCTTGAACAGGAATGTTTTGTTAAGGTGCTAGTGCATCATAATTAGGAAACACTTGAAATTATCAACCTTACTTCTTTCTTCCTTAGCTGTACCTAGTACAAATCCCAGTTTACAGGGAGAAGTGGCTATGCACAGTACTTCTTCATGAGCTTCCTCCTGCCTTTCAACAACTTGCCACCAATTTTGCCCTGTGTATGTCTTGATATAAAACCATTCTGACATTCCATTACATTTACATTCTGATAAGAAAACACATATGAGCACTTCTGATTTGCTCTTCTGCTTTCCCTTAGACCTTCATCCACAAAACCTCTACAACTACTGTGGTGTAGAACCAGGGTTTTCATATTCTGACTTTCTTCTGAAATATTCTGAACTGAATGTTCTTTGGAGTAAATCTTTTCAGTCCGTATGATCAGTTTATGTAATAGCCCAAGAATCAAATGCAGCCACTCATTTTTATAGCCATGATGCTGTTATTAATCTCCATAAAACCCACTGTCTACATACAACAGTTTGAGTATTTTAAAGAGTTAGCAGTTTCCTTTGTTATTACAATTTATACCACAGTAAAAATGCGTTTATTGTTTAATTTTCAATACGTGGAGTTTTAATTTTTGCATAGCTATCCTGGGAAGGTATTGATTTATTTTTATACTTTCATATTTAGTTTCAGACTTGGTTGCAACAGGCATTTCAGTGCCTGTGAAATGAATTATGTGTGCAAATGCAGGAAAGCAAACTGGCATCTGCCAGGAAAGGCTGCAGAAAGAACACTGCTCTTGTACAGCAAATATCACAGCGACCTTCTTGTTCCCTTCTTGTGCAGGGAATTAAGATGTCAGCATATAAACCTGCTGGGTTTATGTAGAAGTCACAGTGGTCTGCCTTTGGCACAGAGATTTCTGTGTGTTGTAGTCCTGTAGATATAAGATGCGCACTTTCTCATTATTTTTAACAGCTGTCAAAGCAGAATTTTGTCTAGTCAAATGCACAGCCTTCTATGTAATTGCATGTGTAGGGTATGAATAATCAGAGTTCTGTCTGTCCTGGGTTCAGCAGTAGCAGTCATTTTTCTCCTTCTTGGTAGCTGGTGCAGTGCTGTGTTTTGACTTTCAGCTGGGAACAGAGCTGAAAAACAATGATGTTTTGGTTTGGCCGAGGACTTTGTGGGCCTCATGCTCTGCCAGGGAGGAGGGGAGCTGGGAGGAAGCAGAGTCAGGACCTGACCAAACTGACCAAGAGGTATTCCATACCACAGCACGTCATGCCCTGGATGTAACTGGGAGTGACCGGAAGGGTGAGGTGGACTGCAGGGTTGGAGGAGGTATCGGTCGGTGCTTGGTCGGGCTGGGGGGGGCGGTTATGGGTCGCCTGGTGATGGAGTGTTGTATTCTCTTTCCTTGTTATTTCCTTTATCATTACTATTATTGGTGGTAGCAGTAGTGATTTGTGTTATACCTTAGTTACTAAACTGTTCTTATCTCAACCCGTGGGAGTTGCATTCTTTCTGATTCTCCTCTCTGTCCCTCCAGGAGTAAGGGGAGGGCAAGAAACGGAGGGGGGGGGAGTGGGTGACAAGCTGTCTGGTTGGGTTAAAACCACGACACTGTCCAATGGGAGGTACACCCCCTTTTTGTCAGCAAGAATTAGGCTAACTAAATCCACAACCTAGGTGCAGGTGTGTTCTGTATTTCAGAGCTTTGCTGTACTTTTGCCTGACACCTGTAATTGTGTAGTTTCCCTGGAGGAAGCTAATTTCTCTTAGTCCTTATTTTATATGCCTCTTGTAATTTACTACCTTACTTTCAGGAGCAGCTTTTAGTGCCAGCTTTCCATGTTAACATGGGGACATCAGCAGTTCATTATGGGGCATAGTCTAATGCTGGCTCTAAAAAGAGTAGCTGAACTGACCAGCAGGAATTCTGTGACAGAACTGTGTACTGACGTGCAGGTGGCAGTTTGTTCCTGCATGTACCAAATATACTAGTGTGGAGCACAGTTCTGCTTTATCTGGCTTTCAGTGTCATAATATTCTTTAAGCACATGCAAACTGCATGCACTGACTAGGGAGCTCTATTTTAGCATGAGTTCAAATAAATGGGCAAGTCTAGCCTTCCAATATATCGAATATAGTTAAATTCCCACCTTTCTCACTGGAGCTGGGCACCATGAGCATCTTGACTGAGTGAACTACTTCATGAAGTGCTTTGTGATGCCTGGGAGGGATCAGACAGTATGTGAAGATTTTCTTGTTGCCTTGATGTAACTTTCATACCTATTCACTTGAGCATTTAGTTTAAAGAGAGAAAGGCAAATTCAGGTTGAAATATTTTGATGACACTTTACAAAAATAAGAACGAAATAATGCATAGGAGGTACAGTTAAAGGAGCTGCACTTCTCATCCCATAGAGTACACACACCTGTGTTTACTGCTTACCTATAGAATCAGAAGGTGAAGAGTTTACAGAACATTATAAAAAGGTTTGTAGGCAACATCAAATAATCAGCAAGCAGAATCAATTGACTATTAAAAAGTGAGAGCTACTTCTGAGAATCAGAAATAGGTTTATACTTTATTTTTTATGCCAATTAATTCTACTTTTTCTGGTTTATATACTGTATATAGTGAATGAAGGGATTCAGTAATGTGATCAAATAGAAAGCGTGAATGCAAAATGTAGTAAAATGCAACAGACTTTTGTGCTGACCTGGTAAAGCAGAATCTCAGGTTTTACTTCATGTGGCTGTACCTTGTTTAACAGTGGTCAAACAACTAGACTCTGACCTGTCCTGGGCTTCAGCTTGGTGAATGGTGGGGGCAATAAAGAAATGTTAAATCAGTAATACTTTTTTCACCATGTCCATAAGGTGTACACTCTTTTGCCCATAACACAATTTTGACCGTAACAGAATATTTTACCTTAATATGCAGTTTAGCTTTCAAATAGTAGTACATATGAAAGGGACAAAGATGATTAGTCCTTGTGGTTATACATACTGCTTGGTTTTGCTTACTGAGCAGAGTTTTTAGTTTTTTCATCATCTTGCCAGTCATTCCTTCATAACAGGTCTTAAAACAAGAAAAAATGCCTTCCCTTCTCTTCCCTGTCCAGCATTCTGGTAAGTGTCCTGTGAGCATGTTGAGCTATGAAGAGATCATTGAGACTATCATGAAGTCTCAATGGCCTGGATTTTGCTTTTTCTTATCTTTATCTTTTTTGGACATTACCACCATTTGATTGATAAGAGTTATATTAATAAATTTGCTGTTAGTAAGAGGAAAATCAGTCCCACTGAGAGCTGAAATAAAGATTTAATTAGAAGAAATAAGCTACTGACTGTGCAGAATTACACAGGTGAAATCCTCAAAAGCTTGCATATAAATTAAGGGTTAAACATCTTACTGACTTTTTCTCTGCAGAGTAAGCTGGGATTAATATCTTTTTAGTTGTGTATGTCCCAGCAAAGGGATAAATAACAGGAGAGACTCTCAGCAAAGAGTCAAGAAATTTGTCTTTACTGCTTCATATAGTTTGGATGAAATTCTGCTTTTGGCATCACGGGATTCAGGAAAACTTCCTGAATATT